AGGCGTATTTGGAGTTTCAGCGCGAGAGCGCCCTCTGGCCTTTGGATGGAGATTTACTTCTGATCACAGAACCGTGCTTCACTGAAAGATACGCATGACAATCGCAGCTTCTGTCGAATCGCAATCTCGATTCCATTTCGATTTATCGTGCAGCCCTAGCTCGGATGGCGACGCAAACAAACTTGTCCGAGCTCAGAACAGCTTACTCGGGAGCCAAAGTTGATTGTGACACTGTTACTGCACAGATACAACAGCGCTGCGAGATCCAGTGAGAAGAGTTTGAATTCTGCACAGAAATCTCCGTTATAAACAGTGCTGACATACGTCAGGAAACCAGAAGCGGTAATGCTAACTGTAACCATGGTGTTGTGGTAGAAATAGTTGAATGCATTACATCATTCATTTCAGGGTTTGTACAACCTTTTGAGAGAGAAATTCAAGCACTTTTCAATGACTTTCAAGCATTTCACACAACTATTTCCAGCACTTTAAAGCTCTAAAATGATCCAGTTTGAATGTTATTTTTAATGGGATGACCAAAATATACTTTGTGGTAATCAAACACTTACGTAAAATTTAAAAAATACATAATCACAATTATAACCAGTAGACGGCAGCAGAGGAGCACTTATTGACGTACAAGTCATTCATTTCTACTTTTTCCTCTATATTTTGAAATTATAAAATCACTATTATAAAATATAAACTCATCAAGAAATCAGATTTTGTCAGAATTTTACACTTTTTTTTGTGTATGAAGTAAAAAAAGTCACAAAGTGCCTTGAAAAACAAACTTTTCTTCAATTTGCTACTAAATCACACATAATCACTGAAGTTGGTCAGTTCCATATACTAGAAGAATAATGGTACATTTAATAATAGTGGAATATATATTTTTTCTATATAAACATTTGATTTTGCACCTGTTACTGTTAATAAAAGTACATTTTGTATGCATCTTAACTCAAGCTTAGTTCTTTACTGTCAAATCAATTTTATGATTAAATTATCTATATTTTAATACTCCCGCACAGCGCTACCAAATCTGCTCCTGGCGCCACCATCCGTAAAACTTAGTGGCGCTGGTGCCACTGCTCTCAAATGTTAGTCTGGAGCCCTGCTGTTTCTGTCTTCTAATCAAACACCACAGCTATAACAAAGATGAATGCACTATATTCCATGTCTCAAAGCCATATGACAGTTTTTGATGAGGAACAGACCAAAATTTAGGTTGATATATGCTAGACTGATACTTCAGCCTTCTGCTGCAGCTCACAAATCTCATTCTCCTTTCCACATATTCTAAGCAGCTCATCACATTATAGCACATGGCATGCCAATTGTGCTATGCCATCATTGGTGTTGAATCTGGTGAACCTAGCTGAACCTCACTTTTAATTTCCTGTTTCATAGCTTTGTCAGACGGAGATATTTTTAGTGAATAATGATTCCATTTCAAAGAGTTTCCCACAAAAAGGTATAGTATAGCTTCAGAAGACGTGGAAATTGGTGTAGTGCTGCATAAATATTCTTTAAAGTTTTGCTGAAAAAAAAAATTTTTTAATAAAAACAACACCAGCATACAGGTTTGAAAGGACACACATGTAAAATAAAAGATGAAAAAAAATCTCAATAGAATTTTCGACAAGTTATTTCTTTACAGACGTGTACTTTAAAGAGGTCATATTGTATTTTAAAGTGTCCTAATATTGTGTTGGAGTCCCCTACAACAGGTTTAAATGCATCTAAGGTCAGAAAACATTGTATTTTTTCAGAATACACATTTAATATTATCTGATGAAACAGTATAGTTTGTAAACCAAAATATGTCTACTGTAATGTTTGAAGAATGACAGACAAAAGACGCTCTGTCTTAACTTTTAATCAGAACGCAGAACAGCTGTATCACAGGCGCACCAGCCTAACTAACTCGCTCGTCTCTCCCACATTAACCCTATAATTGCCGGTGCAGCAAAATAAACAGCAATTTCACAATGATTATAAAGTCTGTGTGCTACACTACATTCTTTATTATTAAACGAATTAGAACAACGTCAGTTTACATTAATCGACACATTCTTAGGAACTACTTCAGTAAGACAGGTTTACGGTACGTTAAATACAGGTGCGTTGCACATCCATTCAGATGAAATGATAAATAGCACAGATCAGTTGACTGGAAACCTAAAGCTGCACTAGGTATACATCCCATATTAGCACAAAAACTTGATTTTGAGCACCCAATTGAAAATGTACACATAACGTATCAATCGTACTTACAGGTTGTGGTTCGGAGAGCTTGTTAGTCCAAATAAAGAAGATTAGAAGCCGACGAAGATAAAAGTCAAAATTAGAGAAGCAGTCCTTGACTCCTTGGTAAAATGACATGCATTACAACAAAAGGTTTGAATTGTATTTCTGTGGTATACTTGAACACAGCATCTTCTCAACATGATGTAAACACACTAACTAGTGGAAGTGTTTGTGGGCAGGTGTTTGTGGGCAGAAATACTCTGTTCATATTTCGCGGGCAGGCGGGGATTATGCAAATGTGTTACCCAGTGACGTATACCGGTAACAGGCAAAAGATTCGAAAATATGACGACTCGTTAAGGCGATTCAGAATCGACTCTCTCTTTTGAGAGACAATATCTTTATTTATCATGCACTTTTTTGATTAACAACTTTGCAGATTGTTTTCATTTAAGGATAGCTACGTTATAAACTGCAAAAGAGATATTTTTCCAAAACCCATATGACCTGCTCTTTAAATGTCTCTTTCAGTGACCATTTCAAAGGTGCCGACAGACAGACTACAGACAGTCTGCGTGAAAGAAATGTAAAAAGCTGAGTAGTGGAAATGAGCGCAGTGGTCAAAGTAGGGTGCTTAAAGCCTTTGTGCAATGCACAAGGCACCAGGGATGCCGAAAACAAAGAGGTGTCAGAGCCCCGCAGTGGACCTCCTCTCTTTGGTCTTTGGTTAGGTATGCTTTTCAGTCACGCACAGGCTTCGGCCCTCCCCCCTTCCTGTCCCTGCATTTCAATGTAAATAGGCCGATTGAATGGCTGCAGCTGCCCCATCAAAAGGACAGTGCTGCTAAAGGGCCCAGTCATTGAGATTCAGCCGAGCCACGCTTCCCCACCCCCACACATCACAAGAAGAGCCGAGCGGCAGCCAGCAGCCCGCAGGAAGTGCTCTTCAATTTAGAAAATGGCCCAATGTAAACCTGAGCAAATGTGATCCTGAAAGCAGTGATAGTGAATGAAATTCATGGTACTATGATATGTTTGAGAGATGGTGCAACAGGACACAAAGGTAGTGGCTGATTCCAGAGAACTCAAAATGAGATTGAGAAAACCACTTCTATATCAAAAAACACCAGAAACAAAACACTAAACAGCGTAGGTCTGATACAACATCTCCGCAACTGAAGAACAGTATCTGCTGGTAAACAGTAAGCCAACAACAGCCTGTGCCGCTCATAAAGATAATGTATTACTCAGCCCTCAGCACATCCAATCAAAACAACCGCTGTCTCCTGCTGCCCAACCCCCTCCACGACCTCACTCACATCTGCCCACACAAGTGAATCTTCTGCATCCCCTGCCATCAGCATCCATATACAGCTTATTTAGAGCTGAATTTCACTTGATCAACAGGGTAAAAACAGAAATCATCAGTAACCAAACAAGTTTCACCTCTTTCATGTCCATTACAACTTAAGTGTAAACAACATAAATTGTAACACCATAATCTTATGATTTTGAAGGTAGACAGACATGTACCAGTATTCTGTAACACGATATAAGGTCATATTGAACATACACTGTATTGTTAATGTAGGCATTTTAACCCTTAAATGCATACCTAGGGTCTTTAGCGACCCGGGACATCATTCTCTACCCTCTCCCTCCTTAATTTTTTTAAGTTAGACATGAACTTTCTTAGTATTCATCAATCTATTCATTATAAACAATATAGCAAGAAAAAAATAGTAAAATATAAAAGAATGCCTGTTTTCCGATTAATTTTTTGTAAAAAGTGTATAGGGTCGCTACAGACCCGAGGTATGTAAATGTGTAAGTATTTTTTCCTGCGCAACTATATTTACATATCTGATGACTCAATTTGTGCAATTAGTGTTGTCAAAAGACCCGGTACTTCGGTACCAAGTCAGTACTAAAAAAATGAAAACGTTACGGTACCAGGTTTTTTAAAGTACCGGTGGTACCGAGTACAAGGTCAACCCGGTTCTTGATGCGCTATCTGAAAGGTGCGCTATCTGAAAGGATCTTCATAAAAGCACTGAGACATGGCGACATCAAAAGGAGGAAACACACCAAACTAACAAAACACTTTAAAGACACCCAGATCAAATGATAGAGTTCAAGCAGGTAAGTTTCATTTTCATTTTTAATATTTAGATCTTGTGTTTCCCATACATTGATTTATTAGTGGCTGCCTGCCACAATATCAAAACTGACCGCCACAAATAGATTTTCCAAAAGGCTTTGACTTCGTTGAATAAACATGAGCACTGCACGTGTCAAGTCGAAAACCCGGTGCGGGTGTTTTTATATCACTGTATTTCTGAAGGAAACCGACTGTCTTCAGAAAATTGTGGATGTCATTTTAATTTTATCTTGCCTGTAATGCCTGAGCAGCGTTTGTGAGAGCAGTGCTTATTTGATTACAGCCGTTACCAGGGAAACATCTATCTCTCCCTCTTTACAAGCGCCTCCTGCTGCCAGAGACTGCAAGTCTGTGGGAAACACTGCTTCTGTTATAAATATTATTCAATATTTTAATTTGAATGTCGGATTGAAATGAACGCTGTTATTAGAGTAGTTAATCATTGGCATTAGAATAATAATAATGAGCATTAGAATGAAGTTTCTTTATTAACTATTTAATGCTCCTATAACTTTTATTAGGGTAAAAAAAAAGGAGGACATGATGA